TCCCCAGAAGCAGGCGTCTTTTAATTTCGTGGCTGCTGTCTCCATCTGCAGTGATCATGGAGCCCAAGAAAGTAAAGTCTGTCACTGCCTCCATATCTTCCCCTTTATTTGCCAGGAGGTGATGGGACCAGTGGCCATGACCTTAGTTTTTTTTTGTTTTTGTTTTTTTTGATGCTGAGCTTCAGACCATTTTTTGCTCTCTCCTATTTCATCCTCATTAATAGGCTCTTTAATTCCTCCTCACTTTCTGCCATCAGAGTGGTATCATCTGATATCCTATAGGCTTCCCCATTGCTGTCAACTGGGTGGGGAGAGGAATCCTCGCTCAGTGAGGTTATGTTATAACATCCCTTCCTTACCATTAATCAACTTGCTTGCTTAGCCTTCATCAAATGGACGTCCAATTGAGAAATTTAATGTCAATTTGTCCCTCCTTGAAAGAGATCAGTCAGCATAAAGCATCCATGATAAGACGTGAGATAAACATTTAAAAAATTGTTCCCAAGCTGTTATAATTTGTTGAACTGTGTTTGTGTAGGTTGATTTAAAATAACAGAATCATAACACTGGAGTGGCAGAAAAGACCCAAGGGTCATCAGCCCTGCCAAAACAGGAAACTGACAGCAAAAGCAGTCCTGGCAGATAACAATCCACTCACAGTTTTAAAATCTCCCATGAAAGAGAAAGTCACCTTCCAAGGTAGACCATTCAGAGCTTTTCATATTTTATTGTCTAGACATTTACAGTATATGGTTTTCTCTTGTTATAAGAGGTTAAAGGCGGAGGCCTCAGGATATGACAGCTAAGTACAATGGACTCATCCTTCAAAACAGCAAGGCAGGAAAGCATCTCTCAGGATTCTACCCTTGCTGCAGAGAAACTCGCCTTTACTGGGCCTTGCCCACCTCACTTTGTTGGTACTCCTTTGCCCTCCCTATGCAAGCACTTCTTATGAGTCATTATTCTTAGATAGAAATGTCCATATTCAGAGGTCATAGGCCTCCAATGGGAAAAGCAACTTGCCCACCTTTAGGTTTCCTGGTGTTTGGCTGGACACCTTTGAAACAAAATGTTTATTTGCATTGGGCAGTCAACTTGACTAACACCTCACCCACTCATCCGGCCATGGGTTTTGGAAACTTTATGCTTTTTTCTACACCAACCTAAGTTCTGTAATGCCCAGTCTGAAAAAGACTCATTTGGAGTTGAAAGCTAGCTTCTGTTTTTGATATTTTCACAGTCTAATAAAAGTATGACCCCACCTTGTCCTTAGATTGTGTACAAGGATTAGGTGGCTTTTCCTCCTTTTTTTGTTTGTTTGTTTGTTTGTTCAGATAACACTGGATGACAAACCTGTAGTACTCCATATTGGGCATATTTAAAGCTTGCTTTTCAAAAAAAGGGAAAGAAAAAGGGTAAAGCAGTGTGTGGTCTGGACAAGAATTGGTCTGTACATTCACTCCCCAGCAGAATCCAGCCATTCCACTTTGACTTGAACCTCATAGAATTTGGTCCAAATCAGGCCAAGTTGGCTAACCGTCGAAAATTCAGCTGAATTTGGAACACAGCCCTAGTTATAACCATTTCATACCATTTTAGCTATCATGGCTCCATTCTAAAGAAGCCTGGGATCTGGTATTTTCTGCTGTAGTTCAGAATTCTATCTAGCAAATAATTCTAACCAAACTACAAATGCCAGGATTTTGTAGGGTGGCGTTTAAAGTGGTATTAAACTGATATAACAGTGCAGTGTAGATACCCCATGACTGATGCTGAATTTCACAGCTGTACCAATTCTATTAGAGAAAAGTAAAGAGGGGAACAA